AAATAGCTGGGCATGGTGGCGCACGCCTGTAATCCCAGCCCTCAGCAGGCTGAGGCAGAAGGATCGCTGTGAGTTGGAGACCAGCCTGGGCTACATAGAGAGTTCCAGGTCAGTCTCAACTAGAGTGAGACTCTGTCTCAAAAAACCAAAAAAAAAAAATTTAGCCACCAAGATTGTTTTGTGTATCTTCAGTTCATTTTAGCTTATGAAGATGGCAAAATGTTCCATTTTAATGTAGACAGCTTTCTCTTATATACCTTAGTCTTGTTCTTATAAATTTCTTCTACTTTTTAGCTGATAGAATTCAATAAAAATAAGTCAACACTCGAAGAGAAGAAATTTGACAGATTGAGAGTAAAGAACTTCTGTAAGAGCTAAAATTAAGAGGGCCGGGGGTTTAGTTCAGTGATGGGGGGATAAAATTAAAATACTAGACAGTGGTAGTATTGAAATTGGATTTGTATAGAGTCCCCCAAAAAAAAGTAAACACATTTTAGCAGTTCGCTATGCTAATAAATGTCTCGAAGTGAATGGGCACTTTAGGCACCTCTTATAATTGTACAGGCCAAAAGCAACTTGTATAAATTTCTTGGTGCCTCAGTAAATTTAATATTGAGGGCCAGGGATTTAGCTCAGTGGCACAGCACCTGTTTGGCAAGCACGAGGTCCTGAGTTCAATCCCCGGTACCTAAATAAATTTAGTATTGAGATATTTATACAAATTTTTCTTTTTCTGGTGTATACATTTTTTTTGGCGGACTCTGTATGTTTAACTGCTTCACTTTGAAATTATGCCTGTGCTTCCACAGCCTAAAGTGGTCACAGATACAGACGAGACTGAACTTGCAAGGCAGCTGGAGAGGCTTGAGAGAGAAAATGCAGAAGTGGATGGAGATGATGATGCAGAAGAAATGGAAGCCAAAACTGAAGATTAACTTTGTGGGAAATAGTCCAGTTTGAGGAACACGAAGCAGTCCTTCCTGGCTGTAAACTCTAGACTTGAAAGTTTTCCAGTATTGAAAACTTCAAAGCTGAATATTTTTTATTCCAAGTATTTAAATGTTCCAGCAGACCAGAACATGAAATGTCCTCCCAAATGTCAGCTGTTTTCACACAGTGGCTCCAACACATCGAGCATTTTTAAGGGAGTGGCTTCATTTCACGTGATAAAAATCTTTTAGCTAAGAACAGTCCTAAAATTGGGCTTGTGATTTCCATTTCTTATATCTTCAGATTGGCATCCTTTGTAGTTAGTACCTCCGTGAGATTTATCAGAGGCACCCAAAGCAAACAATAACAGTCTCAATCTTTCTATATAAAATGTATTCAACCAAACATCAAATAAATTTCTGGGATATTTAACTATAGGCTTTTTCCTTCTTGTCACCAGTTAAAGCATTCTGAGTGCTAAGACCCTGTGTTATCTTTACATGTAGAAATACAAGATCAGGTGGTAAGTGGACCTATACAACAGAACCTTTCAAAAGGGGAATTCAGAGAAAGTATTTTAACTTTAATAATATTGAGATTGACTCTTGGGGGGTAGCCTTAAATGCAATTAAAGAATTACATTGTTGTGTGCCTTTTACCTATTCAAGACTGAAGACAGCTTGGTTTATGATAATTTGTCACACTGGGGCCTTGGTGGTATTCTACGCTGCTTGCCTTGAGTTTCTAATTCAAGATGGTAAGGGTTTTTTCTTTTAAAGAAGGTGCTGTTTTGATTTAGTTAAGAACATCATCTCCCAGCTTTTGATATTTTTATTTTCCCCTTTAAAGTATCTGTGATGCTACCTACGTTTTTGGCTCTCCTTAGAACAGGGATCTGCTTGAATAGTGATTTAAAAAAAAAAAACACTTTGAGCGTTTTTATCAAGAACAAATTATTTTAAAAGTATATGTAGAAGGCCAGGGATTTAGCTCAGTGGTTCCGCCACCTAACTTGCCAAGTGCAAGGGCCTGAGTTCAGTCCCCGGTACAAAAAAAAAATTTATAGGTAACACATTATTTGAAATTAAAGCTACAGTAGTAAAGTGTGGAAAATCATGCTGGGCATGGTTGTGTGTGCCTCTAATCCCTGCTACTCAGGAGGCTGAGGCAGGAGGACCACAAGTTTAAGGGGTAGCTGGGGCAATTTAGTGAGACCTTGTCTCAGGTCTGGGAATGTAGCTCTGTGATACAGTACATTGGGTTCAATCCCCAGTACTGGGCAAGGGGTTGGGTGTATAGAAAATACTGAGTTACTTTGGTGTGCTTATCTTTATAAATTTAATCTCTTAAAATACTTGAAATACTATTTATTATTATCCCTAGGAATAGCTATTAAAACATTAAATTTAATGCACCCTAATCAATGCAGGACTAGTCTTCACTCAGTATTAAAGGTACGAGCACGGAGAATGCTGGTTTTTGCCTATGCTCCCAGCCACTTGGAAGGCAGAGGCATGAGAACAGACTGAACCCAAATCAAGGCTAGGCTGCGCAGCACAGCAAGAAAAAAGGCACTGGAAAATAAGAGCGTGGTGGAGAATGTAGATAACTCGTGACCTTTATAAAGGGTTTGTCCCTTTAATTTAGCAGCCTGTAACTTTAATCCAATGGTCTAACTAAAGACAGCCCATCCCGAGAGGGAGCCAGTCTACCCACCAGCATGCCACAGAGAATCTGGATGTACTTGAGGTTGACACATAATTCTCAGTTTTGTCTGCGAGGCATCAAAAAAAACTGGTTTATAAAACTCATTACATCAGGATGTTTCCAAACTACAACTGGTGCTCCTTTGTTGCATCCAGGGGAATTGAACTTTTTTGTTTACTGGAATTTATAGACTTCAAAAGCCATAACTTGAGAAGTACTGATGGCCCTCGTGGTGATAATTTCATCCCACGTGGGCCTTTTGCTTAATGCCACAATTTTGCCTGTTGAAGAGCCTGGCCAGAGGAAAGATCACTTTTATAGCATGAGCAAGAGAACTAAAATATGTAAATCTTGCTGACTTAAAAGCAAGGACAAGATACACACCTAGCTCTGACTTAAACAGGATTGACAGGCAACTAAATAAATCGTGATTCTTTTACCAAAGCCTTTTCATTTAAGATGTTGACAATTTCCTATTTTCCGTCTTTGCTTGAGGCCAAGTGGCTATCAGCTCATACGATAAAATTAGTGATAGTTTGGGTCCATGCATACATTTAAAATAATGTTAAAACATGAGCATTTAAACCATTGGTTTTGTAACAAGCCAATTCTTATATGAACAATGTCATAATAGGAACAACAGAAACAGCTAACTACTGTATCACGCTGAGCAAAAGTAATTACCCATCTTACGTGTCCAACAGTTCGTGACCTAGCAACTTTGACACCAAGAACAAAAGGGTTAGGGTTTTTTAAGTTTAGCACATTGCCAACTTCACTGATTTGCCTCAAGCTAATGATCATCTACTTTCCAACACCTGGAAATCTTGAATCTCCAATATAAAGAGGCACAGTTGTGCCAGTCTGGAGACAGAAAGCCATCAAACCAAATGTAGTTTAATTCAGATAAGCACCTGTCAATATTCAAAAGGCAATAACAGTAATTCCAGGGACATTAAGCCTTGGTGAAATGCCAAATAGAAAATGGTGCTTGAAAAGGTAATCTGAAATGTATGGAAGAAGAAAAAAACATTTTAAGAGTTCCTCATAGTTTGGGTCAAGTAATCTAGATGAGGAAGAAATTCAACCTGGGCACAGTGGCACACACGTAATCCCAGCACTCGGGAGGCAGGAGGGTCACAAATCCCAGGCTAGCCTGGACTACCAAGAACTTAACAACAAAAGACCAATCTATAAAGAACGAATTATTACCTAAGCACTTTGGAAATACCCATTCCCCTTAACTGTAAGTTACATATTTTATCTATTAAAGTCCAAGAACTTGTATTTGGCAAGAATTCTGGCAATATCTTGTGCCAGATCACTGTATAAACTTGAAAGTAATAAAAATTGTTCTTTCAAAAAATACTGTATGATACAGACTTTTCAATACTTTAACCTCCCAACTAGGGAAGTTTCTTAGTGCCTATTTGTCTCTGCTGATAAAAACCAAAACTTTGTGTCTTTTCCTTTACATCTTACTCTGTCCTTTAGAGAGCCCCCTGCTGTCTCTTTTCTAAATGCCTATTTTTCATAAAAAAGTTGTAATTTTATTTTTTTGTATGTGATTAATTTCCACAAGTAAATCCATGATTTCTTTCCAGACTAATTTTCCAAAGCAAAACAGTATCCTGAATTTTCAAGTGAAGTTTTGCCAGCATCCCCACTTACCATCAGCGTCTTAGTGACATAGATCATTTGAAATATTTCCATAATCAACTTGAGTTATACAAGAGCGTACAGGTAGGAAGCCTTTGAAAACGATAAAACTCTATACAAGAATTACAGCAGGGCCAGGGATTTAGCTCAGTGGCACCATGCCTACCTCACAAGTGCAAAGTCCTAAATTCAATCCCCGGTACCAAACAAACACACACAAAAGAAGAATGAGACCATTCAGAACAGGAAACCCAGGCTCAGTTGAGCCAAAGGAGAAAGGAAAGAAGTTCTTCTAGCCAAAGGGA